CCCATAGCTAGAATCTGAACTTCTTGGCTTCACCTACAAGGCCCTACACAAAATGGCCCCAACTCCTCTTCAGCCATTACTGCCCTGCCTCATCCCATCCTCTGGTCACACCACACGTTTCACATCCTGATGCTTTTGCCTCTCGTGGTTCTGCTACTCAAAGTGCCTTCTCTGCATGGCATGCATCCTGTCTTCCATCCACATGGTGACTGTCTTCAAGGCCTGGCTCAACTGTCACTGCCTCTCTGTAGCTTTCCTGCCAATCTGCTTTCCATCCTCCGATGGCTCTCACCACCACACCCTAGCAGTCAGATTTAATTCTCCTTCACTTGGTTCTAATGGCATTCCACTCATACCTTCATTGTGACCCTCATCACTGTGTATTATGTTTATTCCTATCTGTATCAATCATACAACACTGTACATTGCTCAAGGGCAGAGACTGGCTTTTGTGGGATTGTTCACTGTAGTATCCTCAGCATCTAGCCCAGTGGCTGAGCACTGACAAACACCAGATATGCCTTTACATTGGTGTCACATGTGTTCTTATTTACTTTTATTTTAAAATATAATAGGATCAGGACTGGCAGATGGGGGACGAGCAGTTAGCGTAATGACTATGTCGCTGGACTCCCATGTAGTCGACTGTGGTTCGCGTCCCAGACCCGGTGGCTTAAAACTCACGCTGGGCGCGTGTGCATGCGTGCCCAAGATCCCCAGAGGAGAATGGAGGAGAAGGGATTGCAGCGTGGCCACCCCCCCTAAGGGGTGATTTCTCGCTTTCTGTCTCTCTGTCTCTCTCTGTCTGTCTGGCGAGCACACGTGCACTATAGCAAAAACCTCTCAAAAGAAAAAAAAAAGGAAAGAAAGAAAAAGTTCTGGCAGATGGCATAGCAGTTATGTTGCCCGACTCCCACATGGCCAACCATGGTTTGAGTTCCAGACCCAGTGGCTTCAAACTCATGCCGGGTACATGAACATGCCCAATATCCCAGGAGGAGAATGGAGAATGGATTGTGGCATGGCCATCCCCCCAGGGGGTGATTTCTCACTTTCTGTCACTGTTTTTTTCTGTCTCTCCGGCAAGCACATGCGCCCTACAGCAAAAATCTCTCTAAAAACTAAAATAATAAAATATACTACGGCCTAGGCCAGCCCAGTACTTAAGGGAGCCAGATCCCACATGGCTGACTGTGGTTTGAATCCCAGTACTGGTGATTTGAAAAACATGCCAGGCAAATGCCCAAAATTCTGATGGGATGGAAAAATGGAGGGAAAAGGATTGTGGCATGACCACACCCCATTGGGGAGTTCTGTGTCTCTCTCTCTCTGTCAAGTACACATGTCCTCTGGAAAATACACACACACACACACACACACACACACACACACACACACACACACACATCTTATGTTAACAAGTGCTATGAAGGGAAAATAGAAGCAGACTAAAGGGACCAAGAATGATGGAGTGTTATTGTTTTTTTAATGCCACAGAGTACATGCACACAAGAGAAAGAGAGAGGAAGTACTCCCAAACAAGGCCTGCTGCAATCCTTTTCCCTCCAATTCTCCATCCCATAAGATTTCTAGGCATACATGCACCAGCACTGGGACTTGAACTCTGGTCAGCTGTGTGGTATCCAGCTTCTTCTGCACAGTGCCCAATTTCCATGCTATGGGATGGGCTCTGGGGATGTTGCTATTTTATAAAGGATGGTCAGTCAGAGAAGGCCCCCCTAATAAAGTGACAGAGAGGCACAGACCTGCAAAAAGATGAGGAACAAGCCATGGGGAAATCTGGGAGAAGAGTAGTCCAGGCAGAGGGAACAGTACATGCAAATATGCTGAGATAGTGTATTTAAGAAACAGCAAGGAAGCCAGTGTGGCTAGAGGGGGGGGAGTGAGGAGGAGAAAAGGGAGAACGAGGCTAGATTATTTTTTAAAGAATTATTTATTTAACTTTATTATTATTATTTTTATTTGCTATAGAGCACATACACTTACTAGAGAGAGACACGGGGGGCGAGGGGTGGGAATTGAGAAAGCACGCCGCCAGTTTGGGGACTTGAACTGCAGTTGGCCATGTAGGAATCCAGCGCCCCCACCTATCACGCCACCTGCTGGCCCCAATAGGAGATTTTTGTTTATTTGATGACAAAATCTTATTAGCACCTACCATGTGCCAGACATTGTCCTGGGTACTTTACATACATTAATTCATTTACCTCTTTTTTTGTTATTTTTATTAATGTTTAAAATTATTATTCATACATTAAATCGCTATACATCACTTAGATTGTGAAGAGACTTTACCCAGCATGATATACACCTCAGTCCAGCCCAGTTGAGACTAATATACACAAATCCTATGAAGATAGAACTACATGCTGTATACAATAGCTGCTAAATGAATGTTATTGATGGAGATCACTAATAGCCACCTCGGATGGCAAATCCTGTTCCTCTTCTCAGATGTTAAAATCAGAGAGTCTCTGGATCCGCATCTCTTCTCAACTCAGACATAGGGATATCTCTAGGCATCATCTTACCTACCAACTGCAAGTACAACCATGGAGAATCTGACTTCCGTACTGCTTTATTAATTTCAGGCTCTCCTAGGGTGATCAACCATCCCAGTGTGCTCTGGGTTTGCTAATTTTAGCACTTAAATTACCAGGTTACCTCTAAGTTCCAGACAAACTGAAAAGGTTTTTCAGCTCTGCCAGCTTTAGAATCAATCCCTCTGGCAAACCCACAAGCTGGATGGGGACAGTGTTCTTGTGTTTTCAATCTAAATTGTCCTTCCTTTTGATTGGTCTTAACTCTCCACTTTGGCTCCAGTTTCTCTCTGCACGCTGATGACTGAACCCCAGAAGGAACCCCATTTCACAGTCACCTGAAGAGCCAACATGATAATGCTGTGTGCTAGTTTTCCACTCTGCACTAGCTACTTAAACCTTACGACTAAGCAACCTGAGATTCCTAGGAGTAGATAAAACCCATATGCAATCTGTCACTGTTTATTTTCTTTGCCAAGATAATTCTACAAAGTTAATGAATAGCTGGGTTGGAGTGGGGGAGGGGAAACAGACATAGAATGAATGAGGGGAACCTGTCATAGTGGGCAACCTCTTCTGCTTCTTAGCGAGAATTGGTTATGTAGTGCCCACTGGAGGGTACGGTTGTCATCATCATCATCATCAAAAGGCTTTTATGGGGGGGGAGGGCTAATAACTGGGGCTATGAGCTAGGCCTACACAGAGAACTACACAGCTCTGGACCCTCAATGCTATTTAATGTTTTTTAATTAAAAAAATATTTAAAGAATTATCCATTCAATTTTATGTATTCATTAATTCATTTTTAAAAATTTGACCAGACACACACACACACAGAGATTGAGAGAGAGAGAGAGAGAGAGAGAGAGAGAGAGAGAGCGAGCGAAAGAGAAAAAGCAAGCCACCAGGTCCAGGACTCGAGCCCTCAGTCAGCCACATGGGAATGTCCAGAGCACTAACCACCACACCACCTTCTGGTTCCCCTTAATTTAAATTTTTAATTTACAAATATCATAGTACATTTCTATAGGTTATAATGTGATATCATTTTTATACACATATATTGGATTGTCAGTAAAGTCATGATGCATTTTTGCATGGAAAAACAGAAAAATATGTCAGGACTTTTCCAACAATCCAATACTATGTGTAATTAGCATATCCATCACCTTAAACATTTATCATTTCTTTGTGTTGGGAACATTCAAAATCCTCTCTTCTAGCTATTTTGAAATATAAATAAGTTATTGTTAACTATAGTCATCCTACTATCCTACAGGACACCAGAACTTATTCCTTCTATATAACTGTAATATCATACCTGTTAACCAACCTTCCCTATATCCCTCTCCTCACTACCCTTTCCAGCCTCTGTTAACCATGAGTCTACTCTCTACTTCTTTGAGATCAAGGACTTTCACTCTTAGAACATCATGATCCAAGGCCAGATATTAATGTGGACACATGCAAGATGGATTCAAATATTCAATATGGCTTCAATCACACATTATGTCACGATGTTTTCTACAGGTTATTGGATATTACTGGAGTGAAATTATCAAACAAATGTATCTTTTCCCTCAATTATATTATTAGCTCTTCCAGGACAGAGGACCCAACTTTTCTGCAGACCTTGGCTGTACAGGACAAATATTGATGCTCAGCAGAGCTGATTAAATCAACCTGGCCTGATGGTACAGGCAGAGTACCCTTCAAGCTAATCAATTTCTTTCAACCTCAGTTTCTTCCTCTGTAAAACAGAGATGGTAATTGTATCAACGTCATGGGAGTGTTACAAGGGTGGAAAATAATACATGTAAATCGCTTAGCACATAATCTAGTCTCATTTAGCACATCGTCTGCTCAGTTGTTAGCTATTCATTTACAGTACTAATTTCTGCTTCCCGTTCAACTAGGAGACTCTGAAAGTGAACGTAGTAGCTCTCATAAATCGGTGGGTATTCAACTCAGCCTATAAAGGCACACTAGTTGATTACCTATGTATTGGGGAACAACAAAAGACTTATCCTCTCACTTATCGTCTTCACTTCCCTGCCATAACTCCTGAACAGAGATGCTTTGATGGGTTGTATGTGAGCAACTGACTAGAAGTAAAGGTCCGAGTAGGGCTTTGGACTGGGAGCATGGGCTGGAACTAAAGTGATCGGGTACCTTGTTCTGTCTGCATTCAGCAAACATATTTATAGCTAATTCAACCAGCGCAAGGCACTGTCCGGGAGCTGACAGGCCTGGAATGGGCAGGCTGGTTTCGTAGCCTCATTTCACAAAGCGAGAAACTAAAGAAGAAGCGACACCGAGCGTGGAGAGCCGCTTCTCCGTTAGTGCGCAGGCGCCACGCTTCTGCGCGCCTATGCTATTCCGGAGCCCGCTCCGCCTACTCCAGCAGGCGCGTGGGGTCAGTACCGCGCATGCGTCTGGCAGCCTCACCCGGAAGCAGATTCCTTGGCGCCGGAGAAGCGCGAACCAGCAAAAATGAAGTAAGGTTACCTCTGCTTTCCTCTGAGGAAGGGACAGCAGGCCGCCAGGGGTGGCTCACCAGAACTGGGGTGATGGAGCGTTTGCGGGGCTGAGGGGCGGGATACGCGCAGTGACTGAACTGTCTAGTCCCCTCGTTTTAGTCTTCCTTACCTGAGGCCTGGCCGCTCTTAACCTGTCGCTTTTTCGCCCCGTCGTGCAGCCCTTTAACTAAAGTGAAGCTGATCAACGAGCTGAATGAGCGAGAGGTCCAGCTTGGAGTGGCGGATAAGGTGTCCTGGCACTCCGAGTACAAGGACAGCGCCTGGATTTTCCTGGGTGAGGTCCCCCTAATTTCCTCAGCAGCGCTCAGCATCTGTCCTGGCCGGTTTCGTGGACCGCTTCAGCGCTCCGCCCTCGCTCCCCGTCACGCTCAACGTCCGTGTTTCTGTCCATCTGCTGTCTGCCCAGGAGTCCGTTTTCCATCTCTCTCCTCTCCATTTCTTGTTTGTTTTCCCTGTCAAAGCAGTGCTTGTGAGAGTTACCGTTTGTCATTCACCATGCTGAGTCTGACCACTTGGTTTCTGTGAGACTGCTGTTCTCTTTCTCACACTCACACCCACCCAC